GACAAAAAAACTTGCTGGGTTGTGTCGATTAAACGCTGGCAGCAACTTCCCCGGAAGCTCCCTCGGGAGCACCGGCAAGGCTGGTAGGAGGGACACCGTCTATGCGGAGGCGACTCCGAACGCTCGGTGTCTGCTGAGGGCAACTAATGTTGACAACCACGAGCGTGACCCCCGATCGGAACCGCCCGGGAACCGTGTGGGCTCCGCACAGAACCCCCCTGGGTCTCGCCCGTCCCGGCAGGACGGGCCGGGGCCGCATTTCGGGGGAGGCGCAGACGGCCTGGGGCAGGCGATCCCAGCACTGTCCCCCGGGGGCTCCCGGACCCCCGCCCGGGCACCACCGCCCCGCGCACCTCGTACTCGCGGATGTTGTTGGAGGTGACGAAGATGCCGATGCCTATGGGGATGAAGATGAGGCCGATGATGAAGAAGGCCGGCAGCACCGTGCCCGCCGTCAGGATGGGCTGCCAGGCCGGCAGCCGCTGCTGCTTGAACGCTGTGTTGTCGGGCTTGCGGGTCTTCACGGCACCCCCCCCGCCGCCGCCGCCCACGGTGCCGCCGCCCGGGACGCCGACGCCGCCCGAGGGGTGCCCGTCCGCCTCCTCCTTGGCGCTGTAGTTCACCGCCATGGCGCCCGCTCCGCCGGCACCGCCGCGCGTCACCCGCACCGCGCCTGCGCACTCGGCGGCACAGCGGGCAGGTGGGCGCACGCCCCGTGACGAGCACGAGCCGCCCTCGTTCCCTGGAGCGGGGGATTAGGGAGTCCTGAGGTCATGGAGAGCGGGGGATTAGGGAATGCTGGGGTCGTGGAGAGGGGGGATTAGGGAATGCTGGGGTCATGGAGAGGGGGGATTAGGGAATGCTGGGGTCATGGAGAGGGGGGGATTAGGGAGTGCTGGGGCCATGGAGAGGGGGGATTAGGGAATGCTGGGGTCATGGAGAGGGGGAGGATTAGAGAGTCCTGGGGTCATGGAGAGGGGGGGATCAGGGAATCCCGGGGTCATGAAGAGGGGGGATTAGGGAATGCTGGGGTCATGGAAAGGGGGAGAGACGTGCAAGGTCACGCTATCCCTACCGCCCCCCGGCACTGCCACTGTAACCCCCGCAGCACCCTGCGCCCCAGATCCAGACACCTCTTAAATACGTCCAGGGAAGGTGACTCCAACACCTCCCTGGTGTTGGGACAGCCCATTCCAATGCCTCAGCACACCAACAGAGAACATTTTTTTCAAATATCTAATCTGAATTTTCCCTGTCTCAGTTTCAGGCCATTTCCTCTTGTTCTGTCACTGCGGGAACTGCTGAAGAGATCGACCCCCATCCCATTCCAGCCTCCTTTCAGGCAGCTGTAGAGAGCGATGAGATGTAGGAGCCTCATTTTCTCCAGGCTAAGCAACCCCAGCTCCCTCAGTCGCTCCTCAGGAGATGTTTTATGCTCTGGCCGTGCAGGCGCTGCCGAGCCAGGCAGGGCTCCGGGCAGGGATCTCCTGTATTACACATAGGGCAAAGTTAAATCCTTGTGCCCCATGGTCCGGGTCACACCCTCCCTTCAGATACTTATGTGTATGGATGTTCCGGTCAGAGTTGTTGCAGTGCGCTCAGGAGCTAATCTGATTACATTAGATAGAATCACAGAATCGATTAGGTTGGAAAAGACCTCTGAGATCATCAAGTCCAACCTGTGACCAAACACCACCATGTTAACAAGACCATGGCACTAAGCACCACATTCCAGACTTTTCTTAAACACCTCTAAGTAGATGACTCCATCACCTCCCAGGGCAGCCCATTCCAACGCTTAACACCCTTTCTGTGAAGAAACAGTCACCTTGTGGAACGCAGTGCGGGAGTGTGTATTTGTATCCCAGAATACCTGCCTTGGTAGGCTTTCCTCACCCTAATGCAACATTGAGAGTCCATGTTTCTCACTTTATTGGCGTTTCTGCGTTACTCTGTTTTTTCCTTCCTGTGTAGTCTCTAGAGTGTAGCCAAAATACACTTTCAGCAAGTATTTATGTATTTACTTGACTTTAGGGAAAAATAATTAGAATTATTTAATAATAATTTAATAATTTATAAGCATGTAATCCAGTCTTAAGACTTTTTAGCTGCCTGTAGACCAGTTTCCCTAAAATAAATGCCTTTTAGTTCTCTGGAACAGCGAGAGTATCAGCCAAGACCACTAGGAGGAGCAAATTACTTGTGCAAATGAGCCTCTGTGGAGGCTCAAAAGGCCTCTTATCATAGACAGCATAGGGAACTTGGACATATAAGCATCTAAAATTTAAGAATTAATTCGATGCATAAAAAACTGTATAGGGCACAAAAGTTAATCGTATTCTTGTGGCATATGTGGTAAAACTATATCTCATTTCTAGTTTATCTTTTCCATTATCTTGTGGGCTCCACCTTTTGCTTCCATTCCCCATAGCTAATCTGCTTGCCCCTAATATCACCCTTTTCCTTATTATCTTCTGTTTTCAATCACCACCTTCAGCTATAGTAACTTTTATTCCCACAGCCTCACAGAGAATCAGGGAGGTGCAACCTGGGATCCCGAAGGAATAAGACTGCTTGTAAACCTGATGGCAAGAGAGATGGCAAGAAATTTCTCTGGCAGCAGGGTAACTGAGAGGCGATAGTGGGAAGCTGGGACATGACACTGCCAGGTGTGGGAGGACCGGCAAGAAAGAACATGTTTGATTTGTTGATTTATATTTCACAGCAAGGCAAAAGGAGAACTCACAGATTGCATAATTTCTCTCTAGAAATCAAAGTATTTGAGATTTTTTAATAGATTGAAACATTGTATTTTATCACCTATAACTATACCCAGAGTTGTTTCAACCCTCTTTAGACAGGAAGAGATCTTTTTCTATTGCTATTTTTCTATTGCTTTTAAGCAATAGAAAAATATCTTTAAAATATCTTTAGCCCAGGGTAGCCTCTACATTGTCTTAGTCTGAAAACACTTCCTGATTACCTTCTTTAGGATGACAATACTTGTAGAAATTAATCACCTTTACTCTATATTAATAGATTTCCTCCTGAATGTCCCCAAAATATAGGCTAATTATTTGGCTAATGCAATTTCTTTACTTATTTGTCTTAGATTCATATCCAAATAAGGTAATGTAAAAATTGACCAGGAACATAAATGCATTGAAGATGAAATCACCAGCCTCCTACTCCAAATTGCTGCAGCTCATCAAAAGTATTTTAAAATCTAAATGATTTCAAATATATCATGAAGTATTTATACTTTAAACAAACCTTTATTTTGTGAATCTTAAAACTTAATGTATTTGCAGTTTGCTTAGGTATCAGAAACTTACATTCATATTGAAGTGGCTTTATATTAAAATCTAGACAAGGAAAAATATTTTCTACTTTGATTTGGACCTTTTAAATGTAGACTCAATTTCAGAATACGATTTTACTTATATCTTACTCGTATTTAAAAGCTGAAGTTTCTTTCAGGCATGTCACTGTCACTTTCAAATAGCCAGGAATTTTGTTCCAGATGAGCTCATTGTAGATCTTAACACATATAAGTTTTGATTCCAAAGTGATGTTTTGAAAATAGAAGATCTGGGTCACTACAATATTTATTCTACTGCGCAGTAAATACTATGTGGCACACACTAAACTTTAATCACTTCAGCTGTATTGCTCTCTGAAAGCTGGAATTGTTCTTGGTTTGCTCTAAAATATGATCTACAGACACAGCTATGTTATTGGCATACATTGTCTGCTGTACAAAAAAAACCCACTCCTTAAAAAACATGGTGTACTAGCTAAACATAAGCTGTACCAACAAAATGACTCTTTTGCCAGGGTAAGCAGCACTTATTTTGATTCCCCAGTAGAGCTGTTTTAGCAAACTCTTTACAATGGAGATCAACTCCAAGACAGGTCCCAGAATATCCAGCTTCTCTACAATGTCAGCATTTGCTGCAGAACTCGTATGTAGAAGAAAGAACAGCTCCCATGGCTCCAATGAAGACCAGACTGAATACACAGCAGTGCAATATTCCATCTTCAAAGATGGACTGACCTGCTCATCCCAGTGGGATGCTGAGTTAATGCACTCTTTCTGGCGTCTCACAGCACATCTCCTTCAATCATCACCATTTTCCCTTCCAAAAAAGTAGTTTCTCCCAGTAGCTTTTGCAATTAAAAAATCTGCAGTATTTTAAATATGTGACAAATGACTTATATTAAAAATCATTGATTATGAAATGTATAAGAAAAAAAAAAGACTCTGCCTGGGTTGTATGTGGCTTTATATATAATTAATTCAAAAATCACCTTAAGTACAGCTGCCACAGAACTCTCTGGATGCTACCTGAGAAGTTACAGCCACCAGTGTAAAAGGGGGCCTTTAGCATGTGCAGAGTGGATGGTGTCTATTTTTTACAGTCCTGCTAGTCCAGGACTAAAGATTCTGACTGTACCAGACAAACATCTCTACCAGTGCTGTGATGCACAAGATTAGAAACAATCAAGTCATTAATGGCTTAGTGATTAATCTCCTCAGTAACTTCTGAGCCTATAAGAAAGATGGAGAGACTATTTACAAAAGCATGTTGTGACAGAATAAGGAGGAATGGTTTCAAACTGAAAGACAGTTTAGATAACGTATTAGGAGGAAATTCTTTACTGTGAAGGTGGTGAGGCCCTGGAACAGGTTGCCCAGAGAAGTTGTTGATGCCTCATCCCTGGAATTGTTCAAGGCCAGGTTGGATGGGGCTCTGAGCAACCCAGTCTAGTGGAAGGTGTCCCTGCCCAAAGCAGGGAATTAGGAACTAGATGATCTTTAAGGTCCTTCCAACCCAAATCATTCTAGGATTCTATGAATCAGTGTATGTCACCGTGACACCATATGACACACAAGTCAGAAAAACGAACTTCCAAACCCATAATTCTGTCCCCATAAACAAATACATAGATGAGCACTGCCAACCTTAAGCAACTGGAGTTAAAATGCAAACACTTGATTATATTTGCATAGTTGTGAAAATTTATTAGTTACAGTGTAATGAAAATCAACCTTTTTTTGGTACAGGCAGAAATAAAAACATACTTTACGTAGAAAAAAAAATCACAGCTTTAAAAACTGGCTTACATTGTTTAAAATGAGCAAATCTGGTTGTATTTCAAGGCATTGGGCTTTAATACCTAATTTTATGCCAAACCATCACACAGTGCAAGAAATATTCTGCAATAGTAGAAATGCCATACAGCAGTGCTGAATAATTTTCCATTTAAACTCAAAACATTGCTGTAGTTACATTTTTCTTTACATACTCTCTGTTACAAAAATATCAAATTGCAAATTTAACAGTGTATTCTACAAATAAATGCGCCACGAGCAACAGGAACTGCAACTTTGAGACAGTTACATTACAAAGTGTATTATAAAAATAAATTATATGGCAAATATCAAACAAAATCAAGCACATGCCTTAGGCTTTGCAAATAAAAGTGAAATTCAGCCGGCAGAAAGACTGCTTCTCTGTCTCTGACTAGGTACTCTCAAAATGCCAGCAAGGCCCTTCATTTTTAAAGCTCTACCAAGAGAAAAAAAAATATATATATATAAAATCTAACGGAAGCACTAATACTTCCACAAATAGTCAGTAGCACAAGTGACCCTGGTGTTGATGGCAGGGAGCTTTACAGTGATCCGTCCCACGGGCGCGGAGGGTAGTGCACACAGGGAGCTCTAGCGGGGCCGTAACTCATCTAGAGTTCATGCGTAACTGGTGAATGATGACACTCTCTAAAAGAAAAGAGAGCAAAACATTTGGGTTTATGAAACTGCAAATGCATTCTTTGCAAGTTACTTTTAAGAAGAACAATTACAATGGCAGAGCTAGGCGTTTTTCTAGAAATGTCTCACAGACTTACTCTCACATCACTGCTTGATAAAACTGTCATAGTTAATGCTACAGAGGGAAACTAAATTAGTTCCTGTCTAGGGCCCAGAGGCCTTTGGCTTACACTTCAATGTTAAGACCATCATTTGGTCGTCCACAGAGAAATGGACGTTGAATGGACTAAACCACGGGGACAATAAAGTTCCAGTTCCACAAGGAAGTTTGGGAGTTGTGTGTCTTGTATCCTGTCTAAGCAAATCCATTATAAATCTGGTGGCAATTAATTCTGAAATGGAGATGATGAAGAGGTATGGGGCCATTTCTCACTTTTTTTATTTAAACTTGGCTTACAAACCTATGCTGGATTTATTCAGCAAGTCTTCTTGAATTTGCTACTGCCTTTCATGGGGATAAATTTCAGCCACAGCATGCAAAACTAAGTGCTGGCCTTTTCTTCAAAAGACTGGATTTAATTTTGCCTTATGTGTAATATAGGAGGTCCTTGATCCTGATTAATCCCTGGATCTGCTCTGTTCTTCTATTCTATATACATGGCTCTTACAGGCAACCCTTTCAATCTAAGAATTTAGCTATCAATGACGTTTTACTCTGGAAAACAGTATTTTATGCAGGAAATTGTTTTTCTTAAGATTCCTTCCCTTTTTAATAGTCTTAAGATTTTTCAAGCTTTACACAACCCAAGAAATGACACTAATCAAATCATTATTGCCTTTGACATATATATTGACTTCTGCCTTTGTTTGCTTCCTAACTAATATTTGCAAGATGTTTAAGTTACATGATAAGAAGAAAGAAAAATTAAAATATTTTCCATGTACTCTTAGTGCCAGAACTTTGCCACTAGATGGCAGATCACAGTGCTGATGGTGATTCATGAAACAGAAAAGCAGTGCTGAGGCAACATCCAAGGAAATACACTAAGGCAAATGAAATAGTAGAATTTCCCAGACTGAAAGTATTCATTTTCCATAGAATTTATCATTAACAAATGATTTTCAACAACATATGTATACCAGTTCTACCACATTTAAGCAGTGAATGTGAAAGAACCAGACTGCTATATGAATTTACCTTACAACCAGTGCTGTTCTAGCGTGAAGCTCTTGTGGAATACGATGTTAAAAGCTGTATCTATATAATATCAGACTGCAACCTCAGGAAAACTCTCCCCTGATTTCAGTGGGTGTTACGTGAACTCTATATGAAACAATTATTTTCTTAATATTCACTATGCACATTATATATTAATATAGAGTTTAGACACAAAGTTCTAACAACTAAATGGGTAGCAGAAAAATATCACTCTCCTTGTTAAGGCTCAGTCACTGAATGAACAGCAAAAGTACAGCAGGTTTATCAATCAGTCTTCCTCCTACAGGCCCAACATAGCAATTTTGCATAAAAGAGTAGGAGAAATAATTTGTAAAAAATAAAATAATTGTCTATCAGTTGTTTGTATTTGAAATGCTTACATATATATAAACATATATATTATAACACATACTGTAGTTACTAAAAGAGGTGTCTGAGCGGCTATTAAGCTAAAATTAGAGTAGGGCATATTTTATAAGAGTTCTTTTGGACCAGCCTCTGTAGGAACATGATTGTATCTGAATGATATGATTACATAAATTTTTTTTAGGGTTATAGTTGTGAATATTTCCAGGAGCTACTAATTAACTTAAACAATTTATTTTAATGACAGGAAAAGAAAATTAAGTTAATGTGAAACAGCTAATTCTGCTTTCAGTTCCACTGATGTAAATCAGAACTTCTCCAGGAAACTTATCAGGATAGCAGTTCATATAATGAAGCACATAAACTGACATTTTAACGTGCGAAGTTTAATTTCTTCTTACAATATATACAAACAAGTAACACCAGATAACACAAAAATGTATGTGCAACAGACAGCACATGCCCAAGCAACAGAAGAGTACATACATCAGTAATTCTATTTTTTAAATCCCAATGAGAGTATTTTTGTTTGGAGAACGATTCACACCTGAGTGTTTCACACCTGACTTCCAGAGCTGATAGCTCTGCACCTCACAGTAGTTAACCCTGGTGGCATTCTTCAAAAAAAAAAGTTAAGAGCAGTGTGTAGGAAGTAAGATTCAAAGTGAAGTCAACATCTGTAATGAAAAATGTTGCATATAGTTTTGCCTGAGAGAGCTCAGGCAAAATTAAGGGAACAAGGATAACTCACGCTGACGTAGGGGAAAAAGCCATTCCCCTAAATGAAAACAAGTTTGAAAAATTAGCTCACAGAAACTCCTGCCAGCAAACTACGTATTTCAAAGCAACTCAATGAAATTGGCCACTGTTGTGTGATGGGAACATATAATTGGTCTGAAAATTGTCCTGTTACAGTTTATGCTAAGTACCTGAAACCCATCAGAACAGTAGCTTACTCTCTTCAAAGACATGCTCTTCTACATCTGATCAGAATTACTGAATATTCATGTAAATATTGAGCATGTTTTTGAACACAAGTAGCGTATTTCGGGCAGTGACCTATGACTTGGCATCCAGTTGGCACGAATCAATACATTAATGTGGCTTTAGAGATTACTCACATGATGCTAATTACTATGTGCAGTAAGTGGTTTGCAGTTCAAATACATGCATATTCTATGGGCATATTCAGAAGAGTCACAACATGTTGTTTGATTTTTGAAAAATCACACTAATGGGTGTCACAAAAGGAAAAAAGCTGAGTAAAATAAATACAAAAATCTGTTTGTCCTCTAGCATTAACTTAGGATGTTTACCGATCTTGAGAGAAATCCCTCAGGCTCCTTCATTTTTAGTCACACTTACTCAAATGTACTGATCTGCTAATAACTCGTAGTAGCTGTAATTCCAGTGATGGGATCTACGTAGGAAACACAGTAGAAAACTTATTAGGAACTAAATTTAAAATCAGAGAGATCACCTGGAGAACTGAGGGTGCACCTTCTCGGTCCACGTGTGCTGCTCATGAATGAGTTGACATTTTTCCTGCTCTTCCCCCTCTCCACCTTACTGCTGTCCTAAGCCCTCTGTTCCCATTGCTTGGCTTGAGTTATCACAACTGCTTACGTGGCCATGCCATCAGCCAAAACAGGATATCTCTCCAGCTGATGTTGAAAACCACTGAAAATGCAAAGATTGGTTCTCAGCCACCTTAGTTTCCTGCCAAAGCATTGTAACTATCATTATGGCTCTGAGTGGATGTGTTTTGCCACTGAAATTGTTGCACTTCATTAAAAAAAAAAATCAAACAAAATGACAGAGAAAAAGGTGAGAGAGAGAATGTTATGAGGATGAGTCATTCCAGATGATCACTTAGGAAAGCTTGTTTTCCACATTATAATCCACTAATGTAGAATACAAAAATGTAACATGTAAATTTTACATACAAAAGTAAATAAAGTAAATAAAGGCCCTAGTATTTTCCACGGATTGGTGTATCAGAGTTTGATTCTTTGTTGACTTGTCAAACCTGAGGTTTAAACAACACTTGTCCTTGTGGTACTTCTGATATCACTCTCTTGTGTTCATCCTTTGATGCTGTATGAAGGTGAGCTCATGCTCCACTCTTCAGCGCAGTGGGGCACTGCTAAGATCTTGCTCCTCTTCTCTGCTGCCCTTTTCATTAAACTGGAAGAACTTCTTATGCTGGAGACTGCTATTGCTTTGTTATGTTTGGTTGAAATTGGTTGATGTGTTCAGCGTTATTCATCAGGAAAGGACAGATGGAACGACGGATGAACACAGACACTTCATCTTAAAAGCTTTTTTTTTCATAAAAGGCTGGGCTCAAAGGCAGCCTTTGGAACAGGGACATGAAAACAGGGGGGCTCCCTCCTCCTAGTTCAATATCCTGACCACTCAACCACTCACTTGTTTCTGCTCTGTGAATACTGAAGCACTTCATGCAGAACAGCACAGCCTTCAAAAGGAGGGAGTAAGAATGCCACCTTCTTTCCCCCCTCAGTCTGTTAGTGCCATTGGTGAACCTGCCCGCAGCTGATGTGGATTTTAGTCTCCTCAGATATTGGTGGGAAGGGGGATCTGTCTCCTACATTTGAAAAGAGGTTTCAATGAAAAACTTTTTCAAATAAGTAGCACTACCCCTGCCTTTCTGTGGTATTTATCTACTAGGAAGCATTCATGATTCCACAGTCGCTTTAAAACAGCCCCTGGTTTCTTGTGCCTTCCTTCTTTCTTTTTCTGGCTTGAGAGCCTGGAACTAAGCTATGTCGAAGCTAGCCTTTCTTCTTTTTGCCAGATTTCTTTTAATTCAGATCAGTTCCCCAGTTAAGTTCAAACACTTGTGCCAGCTCAAGGGACAACCACATGTTGAGTGACTGAGTACTTCCTTGGCTGGAGGTGACAAAGACAGGACCACAGCTTTTCACTCCAGTGTGGGATTACATCCCGACTTTATGTGACCATGAAATTGTGGCTTGACTTAGAAGCCCTTAGGAGAAATACAGGAATACCTGGTTATGGATCTTGGTGAGGTCCAGAGGTTGCAGTGCTAGAGTTAACTCACAACAGAAACAGTGATTAGACAAGGGCAGTGGAAGAATATCAAGAAGATCTTCAGTATGCCTCTGGGGCTTAGGCACTATCTTTAGACTTGGTTGTTTAAACTGCCTTCTGGAGCTGACCTACTGAATAGAGAATCTTACCGCACTCACTAGACATAACTGCCTTCAGATTTAGAGGAAATTCCAATATAATACAGACAGTTACACTTCAAATTTTAAGATTTCTGAACTATAGGCTTTCTTTTTTCTTCATCTTAGCCTTCTTCTACCTTTAAGAAACAAGTATGAGTTCAATTAAAACAGATGTTAAAAGTTATAACTAAATACCTATTTATAGCTAACAGTTAAACCAGCTGCCTGATTCCAACTCTTTAGGTTTCTGCTGTGGAATGAAAGTTCCTTTTTTTTTTGTGCTCCCCCTGGGAAAAATAACAGGATCCTCAGTCTGACCTGTCTGGAATTTCTCTAATCTGTCTCATCAAATCCTACTGACTCCACAGGAGCAATCCCCAGATTGTGCCTGCAGTTCTGGCTCTAGTTGAACCATTCTGTGTGCTCTGGATTTCAGGTACTGTGAGGCTGGCTTGTTTCTTCAGGTGAATTATTTTCTTAAACCTCAAACAAAAACAAATTTTTCAACCACAGGCACGCACAGAACATTGCCTTGAGTGCAGTGACAGTTAACTAAGGAACTTTGACTAAGTTTCTTTGACATAAGGAAGGCTTAAGACAGCTGTAGTTCATCACTGTATCAAGCCACATTAGCTTGGGGCTCATGTTCACAATATTATTTAAATGACTGTTTTGACCTTAAGACTTGCTTCAGTGCCAGTATTTAGAGTGAATATCCAGCAGAAAGCTCTTAAAAATGTGTTTTCTTCAAACATCTGTTAAAAAGTCCGTGTTACAACAAGAACAGCAAGATCTCAGCAACAATTTATTGACATACTGAGGCTTTCAAGTGATAAGAATTACTTGAGAGCATCTGATGTACTTCTGAAACAGTAACTCACATTGCTTGATAATTCCAGTTTTCAAGTTTTATCTGAAATACTGAATAGGGTCTTAGGAAAAATGCTACAAATATTAATCTGATTTTTGGATGTCACAGGAAGCAGAACCTTAAAATTAACAGGTATTGTAGATACTACACTGCAAAAAACAAACAAACAAACAAACAAAAACATACTTCTTTTTTGATGTGACAAAAAATGCCCTTCATACAAATAATAAAATACCAGCTTTATGGTCAGCTAATTGCTATATCTGAATCTTAAACTGGAGAGCAATGCAAAGCACAAACTGAAAACTAAACACTGCTTGGATTGAATATAATTTTGTTGGTCTTCTGTGACTGATTCTTCCATCAAATCTCCCAGACAAAAAGCCATTTCATGTTTCACCCACTGGTGCATTTTCCTTTTGGTGAATTGTATTTATTATTTATGGGTGGTCTTCCCGCCTTGCTTTCTGAAAGCTGTTTCAGCCACTGGGTCCTTCACAGCTTGCTGAGATGGTTGAAGCATTATACAAACTTTAAACCGATCACTTATCGGTCTGCTTGGCTCCATTTCTTTTGGATGAGACTTTCTTCTGTGGAAATTGATCGCTTAATGGAAATGTCTTTTAATAACTTTACTGTTATTAAATAAACAATCATGACAATCATGGGCATCCACACTATTTCCATGCTGGAACAATTCCTTAGAACATGCTTAAAAAATGCAAGCATATAAATGAGGAAATTACAAAGAGGGAAGGAAAAACAATGAATCACCATGGTATTGTGAGGTAATCTGTGTTTATGACAAAATATTATAAAGAACTGAAAAATGAGAGTAACTTCCTTATCATACCCTCTCTCTTTCACTGTCTCTACCTGTCTGTGCCACCAGCCGTCTGTATTGACTTCCCCTCTTAGACATACAGATGCTTGACAACTAAGGTTTAAATATAAGACCCCAACAAAGAAAACGACGACTGAAAAACTAGTCAGGTCAGTGGAGTGAATTGCTTCATAGTGCTAGTGGTCTTTGGAGCAGGCATAAAGGGACTGTACTGATTTTAGCCAGATCAGTGTTTCTTCATCTTTTGTTAAAGACTAAACACTTGTTGGCTCACGTAGCTTCATCTGAACCCTGAGCTGGCAGTATTCAGTGTGTGTAAGTCAGGGACCTGGTTTTGAGTACTGTCTACATATGTTAATCCCCTCTGGAAGAATTAAGTTGATGCTTAACAGTGCTGCTGCCAAACATTGTGCTACATCCCTATGCCCCTGAATTCAGTAACTATTTTGAGAAAGCACCTCACCACTGAGAAACACTGACTTGGATGGGAGCCTCCTAGAGAGAAGCCGGGTCACACAGTGCCCATTCTTTCTCTCTTCCCCTCCCTCCCACAGCTGAGGTACTACCTTTCAGTAAAACAAGACCTCAAGTGCACTGTCTCCTGGCATTTCTTCCCTAGGCCAAGTGGCATTTCAATAATGTGATCACAGGCAGGAAGGAAAGTGTCCCATGCAGCAGCAAAGATGGAAAGTGATCCATTAAGGTGGAAGACAAACAGTAAAAAGTGAACCAACTTCCTTCAAATGACCAAGTCCATCATTAAGAATACCTGAACTAGATTAATAACCTAGTGTAGCTGCACCATTCTCACTTCTGAGACTGAAAATCTTCCTGGTGTACAAGAACTGCCTTTATGATGGCTTTTTTTTCCCTTTTTTAAACTTGAGTTCAAGAAAACAAAAGGATGTTGTTACTTAAGTAGTCAGTGCACACACTTATTAGTTTTTTGTAAGTGACAGCTGTAGGACTTCGTTAGTACAGGCAAACGTGAGCAACTACACAGACAGGGGGGCTGACTTCCATGGGAGCAGTAAAACCTGCAGAACGTACCCCCTGAGCCACTGCCATCAGCCCTGACCCCCGCCCAGGGAGGCAGAGCTGCTGGCTGAAGATTTCTTCAGTTCTATTTTCATAGACTGAGTCTCGGCACGAGGCTCGAATTTTGTCACATTTCCTGCTCCTGGGGCTGCCACTACTGACTTTCCTGCTTTCATACCTTTTGACACAGGAATGCGGGTGGGTGTAGGTCTCGGGGATGACCCATCCTGTCCTGTCTGCAAAAGAGAGAGACAGAGAAAAATGCCATGAATGGAGGACTTTTTCTTCTCAAATATGCTTACCTTACACTTTTCATTGGTTCTTCATTTATCTCTTAAGCAACACTATTCCAAATCATACCCATTAGCATAGTAATGTTCACATTTGGAATCTGGCTGTGGCACATATTGCTAGAATATGGCTGAAGGTACAGTTTCAATGAGTTTCCCAGATCTAAGGTCCAGTGTTTTGGATCAAGATGAGATCAGGATGGGAATCCTTGCAAAACTCCCATTTCACAGCACAACACAGTGCAGGCTGACCTTAGAGGAAACCAGAACACTGGCTTAGTTCTCAGACGGGTACAATATTAGCATTGTGTACAGAGACCAACAAGGGTCCTCAAAACAGCATAGCCACGTGAAGCTAACGTTGAACCCAGAGTAACTGCCATATTTTCAGAGCTGGGGCACGATCGGTCAGCATTATAGATAAAATTGAATTTTACTTCACAAAGTATGCTGGGGTCATGGCTGGGGCCGCTTATCTCTGTACTGGAAGAGCAGGGGGGTTGAGAGAAAGAGACAGAGCAAAGTCTGGGATTTCCTTTTCCTGTCGATGTGGTAGGAAGGATGTAGGAAAAGGCTCTCCCCCTCTAGGCCTACCCACAGCTTGATGAACTCTCATGAAGGTAAATCAGCAAACCCAGATTTCCAGGGATACCTCATGGAAGTGTGGACATGCTCATTTTACTGTTTCTGCCAATCTGCTGCCCTGGACAACAGCCTACCAAGCACACTTATCTTCAAGTGTGAGTACTTCAGAATTAAAAAAAGAACACCATAAAAATGGCCTAAGTGGTTGGCCTGGAGCTGGCAGACCCAACACAGCTCATGTGCCCTCCTGGAGCCCAAGCCAGAGGCCAGGACAGAGCTATCCCATAGCTTTGAAATTGCAATCAGTTCATATGGTTAGGCAGCTGAATCCCACCCTGTAAACACACAAGGAGTACTTGGATAGGATGAAAAAATTCAGAAGGGCTAATTGCATTTTCTGTCTCTGTTGGCCGGATAATGATGCACATACTCTGCAAGGTCAAAATTGGAAGCTACCCCCTATGAACCATGACCTAAAGAGAATACTTCTAAACATGACAACTCTGAAAGTAAAATGGGCTTTATCTCCTGCAGTGTGCAATACAGACACAAATGTTAATGGTGACAGCTTCAGCGTCTCGGCTGACTTTCATATGTGACTGTTTTCTGTTCAGATAATAGATGAAGACTTTGATCTAATAAAAGAGAACAATTCTCATAAGGTCCTGCAATTCTAGCTAGACCCATCTGCTAAATTACTAAACCCTGTAACTTATGACATATAAGCAAAACAAAACTACTGAAATAGATCGGATTAGCGGATCATGTCAGCTGAAACATGTATTTGCATGTTTACTTGAAAATGCTCTTAAAAATGCTCAGTGAAGGAGCACTTTTCTTTCAAAACATTTTTCAGTCACTACCATCAGAGCTTTCTGTCTGCATCCTGAGTAGGCAAAGGAAAACCATTCCTTAGTCTTCTAAGAACAGTTCAAAACCCCATGTGTACACTCAAAAAAAAATCACAATTGGAAAACTTGAATGCGGTCTGCTTGACAGGAAGGAAGCCATTTTCAATAACTAAGAGCAACATTTACAATAGCAGTGTAAAGGCTAATATGGAACTCACATGTAGATGTCAAAACAAGTTAGGGCCATACAATTCTGTAGGGCAAAACATGCAAATGCATTCCATCAGCCTTGGAAAATATGTCAACATCCCAGGGAACCCAAATGACAAACATCTTGTAGTCCCTGAAAGAGTTTCACAGTGTGTAAACATGAGGCAATCAAATGGAGTAGCTGGAATCTCAGGCATTTCTTCAGCTTTATTCAGATGTAAATTATTAACTGAGGATTTGGGTGCTTTCAAGTTACTCATTTCAAGCCTAAATCACTCAAAAGCACTTTGAAAAGAACTCTAACTTGCTTTAAATTTCTTAGTTGCCTTCCTTACAGCATACTAACATGTTCATCCTATGGAAGCTAACGCCTGCTTCACATGCAGCTGCTTAAGTATTTTGTGCTTGCCAAGTGAAATGGCACAAAGGTGCCTTTCCAGTCCGCAGTCCCCACTGGTGCATGACGGAGCAGGCAAGCAGAGGACACTCTCCCTGTGTCAGTCCTGTCTGCCAGAAAACCCACACGGCTGTCTGTCTCTTCATCATTCCTTCCAAGAACCAAGCTCTAGGCCATTCCTTCCAGCTCTGTTGGTCTGCAGGCTGCTGCCTTTTCCTTGATCCAGGAATGTGGCTCCAAACAGAAAGGAACTCTTATGTAGCTGCTATAGAGCACCGGAGATGAGACCCGTGGGATGTTGGGTGATGCAGGCTGGCTCTGAGCTACTGAGGCAGTAAGTGGTGTTGGAACACCAAGGGGACCCAAGTGAGGTTACTAAACACATTACTGAGAGTGAGATGAACACACACAGATGCTAGGTTGGTTCAGGCAATCATCAGCCCTCACCGAGGACACTGGCAGGTGTATTAACCTGTGAAGCTGCAGTAAGGCTGGACAGTCCCATTAAAGGAAGAAAAGCAATTTGAATGTACAGATCATTTAGCATGTTTTAGTAGTTTGTAACAGATCTTGCTTAGTGCATTTTACTGACACACACCAGTGCTTTCATGCACACACTGACTTCTGGAACAAAGGTGATTTTCAGCATTTGTTCCTGATCAGATCAGGGCCCAGCTTGCCCTGGAAAGAAACGGTTCAGTTCAGTGATCAACAGACACCTAGTGCAACTTGAGATGCCCTCAAGTAGCCCTTGGCTACTCAAGTTATGTGCACAGAATTGGTAGATAAGCCACAGGACCCAAGGAGACATGCAATCTCTGATACAGCAGCTGAAAGTTAGGTAGGAACTTAAAATGACAAGAAAAAAGTATGTTTAGGCAACTGAATCGTGAAAGGGTGGGAGTGGAGATTTAGCCAGTACAGTCAGTGGAGCCCAGTGGGCAATTCAGCTCACGCTGAAGCTAGCCATGTCTCAGCTGAAATCACACCCCAGTCTCCATGGAGCCAGCACGCAGGCCTCAGTGCTGACAAGGGGACTGATGACTACAGGCTGACTCAGTTGCCCACACTGAGGCATCCTGTGCCATTCGAGGTATCCCATCAGCTGCCATAGCAGAAAGGTACAGGACTGTGCTATACCTCCCAGCCTCATGTGTGTGTCTCAACTGCCACAGGACACGCAGCCAGCACCACACACCTCTGCACGAGCAAGTGAGCTGACCCCTGGATCTCCAGCAGCAGCAGCAGCTCTAGCAGATGCTTACAGCTTATCTGGGATACCTACAAAGAGCTACGTTTAGATGTGGACCTCAAACTATATGCTGCCCAAATGAAAGTAGCCTTATAGCAGCAGAAATGTGTGTCCAGTTCTCTCTGGCACCCAACAGCCTCTCAGCTGTGCCTTCCTGCCCCCATCACAGGACACGCTGCATGGTTGGTGCTTTGCCACTATGCTGGCTCTGCTGCAGCCAGGATTCCCTCTGCTTCCTGCAGATTTGCATGGCACTGAAGTGACTGTGCACCCTGGCAGCATAAACAGCTGGCACTGATGCCAGGCTTGTAGGAGGTGGGGAGCGCAGGGATTAAGTGATTATAGGACTGACACCTATCCTGGTAGCCAAAGAAGATCCAAGTTCACCAGCAATCCTACAACCAAATATAAGGCCTGAATCAAAAAACAGGATGTAGGCACCACAGTTTGGGGTTTTGTTCACAAAGAATATTTGGTTTTGTTCTGTGGGATTTTTACTGTAAACTGTATGAACTGTCCTGGGAACAGGAATTCGAGCCAATGTTCTAAGGCAAGACTAACAACCAGGCTACAGTTTTCAGGCTCATTTTGGTCTCAATATCCTCTGTGGTCCACCTGTAATTAAAAAATAATCTCCTAGGTCTGCTAGGGTATTTCAAGTATCTCCCTAGGAGTGGGTTTGACTCTAATCAAGCTAAGGAGAACCAACACCCCTTTTTTGTACTTCTGTGGGAACTGTCCAAATCCATAGGTTGCCATAGAAAAGGCAACTACTGTTTTACGGTTTGGTTCTTTTTTTTTTCATCAAAGTGGTGATGGTTCTGTTAAATGCAGAATTCAATCCAACTGATCAAATAGTCTCCATCACATCAGCTCCTGCCATGGAGACCCCTGTTGGACTGGTGTGATGAGACCTGCTGTTCAACTGGCCAGCCCTGGCCTTGTTCAGCAGGCACAACACGAAGCACTTCCAAAATATCTGAGTCTAGTGAGTTCAGGTGCCAGTGGAGATACTGTCACTGACTGGTGCCTTGTTTGATTCTTTTTGACTAAGTGCTCAGAAATTTCCCATGTTCTCCTTCAGATGCCTGTGGCTTTCTGTGGACAGGGTCTCATTTTATACAACAAAATATAAAATATAAATCCCTAGGTACTCTACAGAGCGTATGTCAGTGTAAATCAACACAACCAGAACCCCTCTTAATCCATGGGATTCATGGGATTCAAAAATCATGAGAGTCCACAATGAAATCACAGACTCTGGTTTTGGACTCACATATACAGAGAGACACCACAGTTCAGGCTGAACATTTAAAAGTACTATGTGTGCACCTGCAGTACTGAAGATTACTCTGTAAATTCAAATGGGAAAAACTAAATGTTTTCAAACAGGAAAACAGTAACTGTAAATCTGTTATAGGAACAGATGAGAGCCTGGAATTTCAGACTTCCCGTTTGTAGCTTGGCACTGCATTAGCACACTGTACAAAGCATCTTGTATGAGGAACATTAAGACAAAAATTAAACCCAGTGAGCTAAAGAAAGCAGCTGTGTATCAGTTTGTCTTGTTTGATTTTATTAATTTAAACCCTCAAAATTGCATCAATGTTGGTTTCTGCTAGGGTTACTGAGTAAATTATCAGATACTTGTTTTTTCTGACTGTAAAGTTCTCATTTGCAAAACAGATGGGGAATACGCAACTTGTTGTTTCCTGTTTCTTTTTCTTTTTCTTTTTTTTTTTTTTTTTTTCCCCAGGAGTCTGGGGAGGAAAAGGAACATTTGGGCTTGTTTGAAGTTGCCTGCTTATCTGACTAGGGACATTAAAAAGCAGAAGGAAGCATAAGATAAAGTAAATCTTATGGTTGAGCTATTTTCCTTACGTTCCAAATCAGGGAGGATGAAGTGAAGAAAGAAGCCAGTTTTTAGCCAGAAAAAAAACAAAACAAAAAAGTTTTGTCTGCCATGGTTCAGTGCATCATCACAGTAGAGACAGACATCTAGTTAAAAAGAAAAGTTTAAAAACAAGTTTTCCAAGCTTCTGAGAGACAAAGGAGTTTGTAAATTAATTAATTCAAGACTTTTAAAAAATGAACAGTTGCCTCTAATATGTAGGAAAGCACTGCACAGTAAATGTACAATACATTATATATGCGGGGAGAGAGACAGCACATGTGCAACCCCAAACAGATCTCTATGATGAATGCAAGTTTTCTTAATATCAGAAGGCTTAAACGGGAATGGCAGCCTCTCTGCAAAGGTGTGGAAGTGTATCTTAAATGCACTTCTATATTTCAGCTTGGAGATGGCTGAAGAGGCATGTTGGAGGAGTCTGCAGACTCCTGAGCTGCATGGACAAACGAACAGGGGATGACTATTCAGTATTTGTCAAGATACGAGAAAGAGGTGGTAAACAATGAAGGTATTGCATAAAAGGTATTGAACAAAAGAGCATTTTTTCCAAAGCCCACAACTGAATTCACTGCCCCCTGATGTTGTGGAAACAACAGTATAAATGAGTTCAAAAAGTAATTTAAAGAATAAATAGAAGAAAACTCAGCCACGGTCTATTAAAGACAAAGATGTTGCTACAGGCCCTGGTTCAGAAAGAAATAACCACCTATTGCCAAAAACTGGGAACAGACGCTGAGGGGAACATTACTGTGTGTTTACCCACTTAAAATAATCTTCCCCTAAGCGTGTGTTGCAGACTCTGTCTAGCTAAATAAGTTTTTGGACTAATACAGTACTGATGGTTTTCTGTTTCTGTTAAATTCTTCTTTCTCAGGATATTTCTAACTAAAGCAACACAAAATTGCATCCAATAATAAACTGGGGGAAGGATTATCAATAAATACTGTCCTGTACTGTGGTTAAAGACAGAGGTGAGAAATTGATTTAAGTAGGAAAAGCAAGCTGGGGTACCACCACAGAAGCCCAGAGAGAAAGCAGAAAAAAAAAAAAATATGTTAGAGGAAGCACTATTGTAATACAGCACTTGCAGAAGTTCAGAGGAACAAAAAGAGCTTTACTATTCACTGGCTGAAAGATGCTTGGACCTGTAAGCAATGATAATATGTCTGTTTACTTATTCCTTTGGACTTCAGTATTAGAGCAGACATTAACTGAATTATAACTATAATGGGATCATACGAAAGAAACACCAACCTGCATGATCAGTCTAAACACCTGCCAGCCGGGTGAAAAAACATGAGGAGTATTTTCAAAAGTCAGAAATTGCACTCACCGAAAACAAAAAAAGAGTTTCCTACTCTCTCATCTCCATCATTCTTGTCCCTCTGTCTCTCGCTTGCAATTTTACTGGATTGCCATTATGAAAATAACTTGAAAGTAACTTTGAAGGGACTTCCTAATTAAACTGAAACAAATATAGAGAAGTCAAGAGTTTCTCCTCACCTCACCCATTTTCCTGCTGGTGTCTCAAATCCAAACTACAGTTGCCCTTCTCCTTACCAGGAAGACTACATCGTGAGACTAGGCTGCTTACCACTGATTGTGTTCCTCGGGTGGAAGATGTTGTAACAGGCGTTATAGTGATGGTACTTGTCACCTTGCTCGCTGTGGGTCGCGAGGACAGGTTGTTTCGAGGTGATCGAAGGACGGTACCGGTCACAACTTCTTTCTCTGCTGCTATGTTCACTGGTCTCACTGTTATCACAGGACTCGCACCGTCAGGTGCAGCACTGGGAGAACGTTTAAACTGGGAACCTAAGTGGATGTGGATTTTGTTGTCTTCTGTCGTAATAATGTTGGCATTGGCATTGTACTTGCGGATTGGAGTTGGGACGGTTTGCTTTTCTGGTGTTACTTTGAAGACAGCCCTTCCCATGGTCATATCTTGTGACTGTGGGGAGACAGAGATCTCTGCTGGTGCTGCAGATGTTGATACTGTCATAATCTGAATTGGCGATGCAGGTCTGTCGGCGAAGGGTGCTCTCCCTCCCTCTGGGGACTTTTCCCTGGAGAACGTTGTTATAGTGACTGGAGACATAGAACGATCTGGGCCCATGGGACTTTCACTGCCTTTTCCTTTTTGTGGCATAACGTTTGGAGAGGGAATGATGGTTATTCGTGGCTTCTGATTTCCTAGAGTAGGAATGACAGTGGTACTCGAAAAAAATTCCTCTGCGGTTGGACTGGTTATCTCCAAAGTTGCTGTGCTGTTCTCATGGTCTGGTGTCACCCGAATATGAAGAGGTTGACCCTGTTTTGGTGAAAGGACAACCTCTCCAGGATGTGCTGGACTACTGTGGGTCCGGGCTCCTTTATCAGGAGTTGCCTGAGCCCCAGTTTCCCTCTTTTTCATCCATGGTATCCAAGATTTCCTCATAGCGAGCTCGTTTGCTGCTGGAGGGTATCTCTCGAGCACTGAAGAACGCTCCATGGGTTTTTTCAGACCTACCTGTCGCAGATTGCTCATGATATGATTCTCCTCCTGGAAGGATTTCCTTATAAACACTGCTGGAGTTTCTTCTTCTGCCGCTTCGTTGCTTACAGCATCTGTCTGCACGCCAGTGGATGTCACAGGGACATCGACCATTCTTCGTCCATTTATGCTGGGCCTCAGAGCACGGCTGTAACGCTTAGAAAGCTCCAGCTCTCTTGTTAGGTTCAGAACTTCCTGCCCCATGCTCTTGTTCTTGTTTTCTTCTTCCATGAACCTTTGCTGCAGAACTGAATAATCAACTTGGAGCTGAGAAAGCTGGTCTTCTTTGTTCATCAGCTCATGGATTTTTTCCTTAAGAGCCTGAACTTCTGCTTTCAAATCTCTGCTTTTGGCCTCTTCCAGACGAAACCTGTGCCTCAGCTCTGCCTCCTGGCTCACCATTTCACCTTTTTCTATTGCTTTGGTTTTGGCAATCTGGAGTTTCATTTCCTCCAACTGTTGAGAAAGAAAGTTAGCTTTATCCTGCTCAGTCCTAAATTTCTGCTCTAGCTGATCATATTCATCTTCTGTCTTCATCAAATCTCCTTCAACCACTTCCAATTGTTTGAGACGTTTCTTCAGTCTTTCAATTTCAACGGTGAGTTCCTTAATCTTATTGTCCTCATGACAACCATGCTCTGGTCCTTTCCTGGTTCGACCTCTTGTAATTTCTCTTTCTACTTCCTCCACACCATCAATTCTTTTCTTTAACAAGTCAACTCTACAGCTTAGTTGAGAGGATTTTTCTTCTTCACTTCTCAGTTTGCCAATTAACTCATCTCTTTCCTTTGTCAAACTAGACACTTTTTCCTCCATTTCAGATTTCAGTTTCAAAAATTTCTTACTTTCTTCTATCAATTTCTCAGTTACATCCATAACTTTCCCTTGTTCAACTTTAAAATTCTTGTTTAGACCCTCAACTTTTTTTTCCTCCTGTTTTATTTTTTCCATCATATTTTTTCGTTCATCAACCAACATTACAGTAAACGACTTCAGCTTTGTAAGGTCATCTTTTAGGCTTATTTCAGCCTTCTCCAACTTGCTTTCTGATGTCTCAAGGTCCTTCACTCGAGTCTTTACCACTTCCAACTCATTTATCAAATCCTTAGTCAAATTCTTTTCTTTCTCCAAGTTTAAGTGCAGCTGAGTGCATTCAGACTTGCTTTTACTGAAAGCCTCTTCCAGTTTCTCTAGTTCTGACATTCTTTTCTGCAGTTTTTCCACTTCAAGTTTCAACTCTTTGCTATGGTGCTCCTCCTCTTGCAGTTTATTTTTCAGCTCTTTGCACTGGGATTCAGTTTTTGTGATCTCTTCATCTTTGCCCTCCATTTCAAGCACACGCTTGCGGAGGTTTTCCACTTCTGCCATTAAGCTAGAGTTCCCACATTCTCCTTTTGCTATTTTATCTCTTAGTTCTTGAAGTTCCTCCTCAGCTCTTTGAAGATTTTTGTTAGTTTCTTCCAGCTCCTCTATTCTGCGAGTCAACCCCACTAGCTTAAGCCTTAGCTGTCTATTATGTGACTCTTGATTAGCCAGTTTAGCAGTCATCTCCTCATGTTCTTGAGAAAACGATGAAGTTTTGTGTTCAAGTTCTGCCTCTAACTTCATCAGTTTTTGTCCATCTTCTTTAGTTTTTGCACTGATAATTTTAAGCTTTTCTTCTTCTTCTTTTAGTTTTTGGGTTAAGTCCTGTATTTTCTGGCTTTGTTGACCAAGTTGTTCAATATGCATTTGTCTTTCATCCACCAGCATGAGTGCAAATGATTTGAGCTTGACTAGTTCTTCTCTCAGTTTATTGATTCTCTTTGTATGTTCCTTCTCCTTCCGGGCTTGATAGACCTTCTCCTGCTCAAGAAGTTTCTTCAACCTGAAACAAGTTAGAAGAGATGCTTTAAATTTTATATATGTGTGTGTGTATGTATTTCTCCATTCTAAAAATCACCTTTGTTTTAGCTTTTTTTTTTTATTTCAAGTTGTCTTGCAAGAAATCACAGAATAACTTCCTACTGCAGTTACCCAAACCCAATATTTTAAATTAAAAAAGTTAAATGAAAAATGTATAAAATTATCTAGAAATCTGAAACACAGTGAAATTTTATACATGTATAGATAAAAAATACATCTGGTTTTAATTTCTTTCTATTTATTTCTCTGTTAGAATGATGTTGGTAAAAGTATATAATATTCCAACAGGACAGGTATTATCTACTCACCAATCCATTTATATCAAACTTGCTTTACAAGGTGGATTCCTTCTTATGTCTTGCATATAAAAAAATGTGTAAAGATAAAAAACGAAAACTAATTGCCATATGCAGCCACACATAAATGGACCAATCCTGGTTATAAATAAACCAGCAGGATAGAAGATTACATTAGCACCCAACTGATAATTATCTGAGCATCACAAGCATACAAAATTAGCAGGAAGATAAATTTGGCAGCACACTGACTGTTGTGTTAAAAAGTTTCTTCTTCTAAACACATTTCCATTTAGTAGATTTTGCAAACCACAAAGATCAGACTTAATCAAACCTTTGGCTACAGCTAACCTCATCTGGAAAATGCTCTTCTCTATATGGTCTGTAAAGGTGTATTTTCACTATAAAAGCTCACAATACACAAATTACATGTATCCTTAGAAAGACAATTTTCCAGCCTTACCCATGCAACATGGAGAAATTATTAGAAACGTAAGTATTTTATAACTGTGATTTATATTCAGGATATGTTGAGATCAGCAGAGGACGTTCCTGAACATGTTAAGGGTTGGACTTGATGATCTCAGAGGTCTTTTCCAACCCAGTTGATTCTATGATTCTGTGTAAGGAAGGATTTCTGAGGATGGTGATCCTCAATTGACAAAGAGGTACAGATAACACATGGATGTATCCCCTACCAATCTAAGAGCTTTATTGTAAAAGCAGCACTCCAGCTTGGAAAGACAGAGGTACACATGCTGAATTTACTGTGAAATGGTGTTTTCCAAACCACTGTCATAGCACCTACAACTCCCATATACCGTATAAAGACGTGTGATGATTCAAATCCACTTGCTTTGCTTACTGTATTGTCTGAAGCTTTTCAGTAGATGATAGCGGGTGAAGCACAGATATAACATTCCTCTCTGCTACCCCAGCAATGAAGCAGTGCCAAGGACTCTGGGGCACAATGTCATACACAGAGGATGTCCCCTAAAGCCCTCACCTGAACTCTAAACTCATAACAGCCACATTAACTTGGTACTCCGGCAACTGTTAATGTTTCACTCCTTGCTCCTTGGGGACCAGAACAAAGAGGAACTGGAAAGAAAGGCTATAAGAAAAGAGAAGGAAGTCTGAAAGCAGAACACAGGATGCAGTAGGTAGGGAAGGAGAAGGCTGAAGAATGCATTTGAAAACAAGAGTCGGATAGAATGTGGGAGTAAGAGAATAGTAGGAACCAGTGGGATACAGAAAAACAAACAAACCTTACAGCCAACCTTGCTGGGTCACAGATTACTCTCAAAAAAAAAAAAAAATCTCTTTAGCTGTAGTATCTCTTTGGAAAGGACTGAAAAGATATGCTGATGAATGGGTCAAGTTAAAATATCAAAAGGTAAAAAAAGACCCACTGTCACTCACAAAGCATGCACTTTTCACACTGAAGAAGGAACTTTATTGGCATGCAATATATTCCCTGGCTGCTCTATCACACTGCTTCATGTAAATGTTTCTGCCAAGAACTCTTCCTCATCTCCCCCAGGCTATGTTTTTAAAGAAATAGTATGTACCCTTCGACAAAATATTTGCCAAGACAGAACAATGCATCCTAACCTAGTGGTAGTCTGAATGACCCATATCCCAAAGTCATGAAAATGGCAGAAAGTTTCCAGCTTCCCTCATCCCACACTCAAAAGCCTATCTAGAGATGCTTAGAAAACTGCCTATGATTTTTAATTCCTAGGCATGCATGTGTGATTTTCACCCAGCAGTTGCTCCAGGTGGTATACACCAGTCAGGCTGCTAAGCAGAGTGCAAAATAATTCACTGGCAACACATGGCCCCATGTGATTACCTGAGAGTCTACTGGGGAATAATGCCAAGAAAGCCACAGAAAAAACCACAAATATCTGTTAAACTAAGATCAAAAAAATGGCAGTCATGAGACTGAGTAACAGGAGAAGAAAGCACGTTAGCCCTGTCACTGCCTTGCAGGAGGGCTAGCAGGAGAGCTAACTGGCCTGGCCCCTCCGGGAAAACAAAGCACTGTAACTGTACCAATACATGGAGGTGAATTTGCTAAGATATCTCTGCTGAGCAAGGTAGGAAGCAACATGCAGCATTTTATCCTGCCTCAGCTTTAACATGGTGAAACTACACTATCTTAGATTTGACAAGTGAACTTTCAGAGAATATACTTGACAATACTTCTGTTTTCCATGTCCAGGGGAACTGTTTCTAAAATCTGGTTCTGTGGGGGATGGATGGGAAAGCAGTACACAAATCTATGTGCTAATTACCAAAGTAATTAAAAAACTCTACATCTTTTCAGTGCAACTTTTAAACACTAAAATAAAGTTGAGTTTAAGCTTGCTCCCACTTTCTACTTTTCCATTCTTTTACAACTTTCATACTCAGTGGTTAAACTGGAATTCCAGCAGACTGCAAGGTGAGATTGTCCCTTCTTGACCCTCAAAACAGATTTATTACCAGGCTTCTCATCTGACTGCTGCTGCTAATGTTTGCTAAGTAATGCAGAACCGCATGGGCTCCACTGCAACACTAAAAGCCTCTCAGACTCCCTGCATGTGCATCTTCAATGTGTTAATCAGAGCAACTACACTCTGGATTGTCAAAAGGTTGAAAACACCTGCCTTCAGGGTCCAAAACAAAACCTTTAATAATGAAACACGGGGCTACATACAGCAAAAACACTGACAAGCCAACCATTTGGTACCTCCAACCCAGTCCCTGAATTTGCTATCTTGGTTTGTGGTTGCTTTTGGAGATGGGAAGAAATGTTTGGGTACAACTGGATAACCTGCATTCATCAGAAAGAGTCTCAGGGGTGTAGCATCTAGACCCCAGCACGCAGATATGCTCCAGTTCCCTGTGGAGAGAGATCACATTGCCTGCTCCTCTATGGACAGCACCGCTAAGTCTCTGTGTCTCTCAACGGATTACCACAAGTATGATGTCAAAGCATGCAGCCCAGGCCATTCCCTGAATACACGTGATCTTTTGTTGCCATGAGAGTCCTGATGGTCTCTCTTTCTCCTTACTATCTATCCTCCCCATAGAATTTGAAGAACAGGTGCCCTACAGGTGTCCAATACTCAAGACCAATCACATTACCTCTTGCAGTGCACTGGATAAATAAAGCAGCGAGCCCTTAGGTATGACTGTATGCAAACTGCTAACTGCCTCAGCTAAAAACAAACACTGGACAATGCTGTTCCCTGGTTTTGAACTATTAAGAAAAATGCTTGGCTGGCATGGCACAGGATGCTGGACTACAGAAGCTACCGATACAATCTCATGTGGTCCATGCTGCATAGGGAGCTGCATCTCCTGCATCCCTCCACAGCCTTAGCTGTTCACAACCAGGGGAGCAGGAGGGAGGTCTGTGGGCAGCCATGCTGGGGAAGTAGGAAGCTGAGGACTTTCTACAACCAATCTCAGCTTGCAGAGAAAGCAGACACCAGAGTGGAGGAAGAGCAACTATGGAATTAGTTTTAATATCTTTCATGAATGGTGAGCTGGAAGCAGTCAGGAAGGAGGAAGGCAGAGTGAATGGGCAGTAAGCAGGCCCTCCCTCTCGTCCTTCCTTTAGCTTTGGTGCTGAAGTGTTCCATTGCACAAGGTTTTTCTGTTTCCCCTTCCCTCCTACAAGCTACAAATTGGTGAACAGAGGCACGATGGGATGCTGATAGCTACAACCCTATTCCTCCAGAGATGTGCCTTCATCTCATTTACTATGGTTATACTCCTGTGCTTCATCCTAGCAGTTCTGACTGCCTTACTCAGGTTGGGGTTCATCACTCCTTCAGGTTTGGATGGAAACTTTTCCTTACAGTAAACCTGTAAGGAAATACCATACCTTTTTTCCCACCACACCCTCAGCTGCCAAAAAGTCCAGTTATCCTCTCAACATATTTGTACGAGACTGTGCTGGGTTACAGCATGGAGGCAGCATGTTTGTAAAACAGCACATTGGATACATTGGGAAGTGGTGTCCAACACAGGCAGGGCTTTGGTGTGCTGCAAGAGAGTCCCTGAGTCTGCCCTGAAGGACAGGAGGCAGAGGACATGGATGGCTGTATCTCCTTCCAGTGAGAAATGCAGAGCGGCTTAAGGGCTTCTTGCTGGAGTTTTCTGGGGGCCATAAGGGTAGTTTAACATTCTCTTTAAGACCGATCACTTCATTGTATCAATAAAGCGACAGACTTCCCTTACTGTTTTTTTCTGTTTTATGTCTATATGTCAAGTGCAATCACTGAGATGCACGGGAGAAACCCCACAGTACCATTTTTACAGTGTCTCTACTCAGACTAGAGCAAGACTTTATAATATTTTCATGTTTTTGAAAGACACTGCAATAGCTTCACAAGAGGAAAGCTCCAATGGGCACTACTGGATTTTAGACAGGATTTATTTTATTTGTAAATGGTAAAAGTAGTAGCAGCAGCAAGACCTTAGCTAAAATCAAGCATTAGTACTTGTTCACATTTGCAAAAGAAATTACAAATAGTGGTCAGTAGACAATTTCTTCCTTTCTGAAGGATAATAAACTTCATTACTACATTTGAAATGTAATAAATAGAGTAAACTGGGAACTGTAAAACTCCTGCTTAGCAGTGATAGCTGATATGAGAAGCCGTTCTCT